AAGTGTCTATTTTGTATGTTTTCCACGGAAGCAACAATTATTCTATTATCGCGACACAGTCGCCGACCGTTTCATCGATTAACGGTCGATCCACTACACTATACAAATTGTTGTTTAATAAATCGGATTGACGCCGACCGCGAACAAAACTAGCGAATATTATCCTACACGTACGATCGATATTTGAAACACGTCGCGCCACATTCTCTGCAAGCAATCCGGTTTTAACCGTGCGTGAATATATTCGCCGCTTACACTCTTGAACCGTGGGACATGTCAATGTTTGCAAATCACGTGTCCGTCGTGTCTTGTAACAATAGCCGCTCGCGGCGCTTGCGAACAATAACGTCGGCTAAATAGCGGTTAACGAAACTGCGATAACTTCATCGTGCGACCCCTTTTGTTCCGCACGTTTGGATTCTGTGGAAACGGTCTTGTGCCGTTGATACGAAACGCAATCGTGAACAATTCAAACGGAGTGCGGTAATTTCTCCCGGAAATGTTCGGAGGACGGAATCGAAACCGGCAGATCCGAGAATAGTAAGCCGCGATTCTTCGTGCCCGGTGGATCGTTTTTATGGAAACTCGGGGCGGTCGGCAAAAAAGGCAGCGGCCAGCATGCCGGTATACATTAATGTGAATACATAGCAATGCTGGAATAAAAATGGCTTAACTTTTTTATTTCTAATTTTTTGTCATGATTCGAAGGCAATTTGGAGGCCACGTGACACGATTCGAAGGCAATTTGGAGGTTATATGCCACGATTCGAAGGCAATTTCGAGACCACGTGCTACGATTCGAAGGCAATTTGAAGGTTATATACCATGATTCGAAGGCAATTCAGGGCCATGTGCCACGATTCGAAGGCAATTTGGAGGCTAAATGGCACGATTTGAAGGCAATTTGGAGGTTATATGCCTCGATTCGAAGGCAATTCGGAGCCACGTGCCACAAATCGAAGACAATTTGGATGTTATATGCCACGATTCGAAGGCAATTCAGAGCCACGTGCCACGATTCGAAGGCAATTTGGAGGTTATATGCCATGATTCCAAGGTAATTTGGAGGCCACGTGCCACGATTCGAAGGCAATTCGGAGGCAATCTGGAGATTATATGCCACGATTCGAAGGCAATTTGGAGGTTATATGCCATGATTCCAAGGTAATTTGGAGGCCACGTGCCACGATTCGAAGGCAATTCGGAGGCAATCTGGAGATTATATGCCACGATTCGAAGGCAATTTGGAGGCCACGTGCCACGATTCAAAGGCAATTTGGAGGTTATATGCATCGATTCGAAGGCAATTTGGAGACGATTCGAAGGTTCGAAAGCAATTCGGAGGCCAAATGCCACAATTCGAAGGCCACATGACACGATTCGACAGTCACGTACTTAGCACCTCCACGTACCACGTATCTCCGCCTTTTTCTATTTGCCTGACTCACGCCCAAACGCAGCAATAAATTATATAAACGTAGAACTAGCACAGGGAAATTCAGAGCAATCCGTAATTTGGCATTTCCGGGAGAGAAGTTACTGTATCATATTATCTCAAAAAATTCATTTTAATTCATTTCAATTTGAAGGCAATTTGGAGGCCACGTGCCACAATTCGAAGGCAATTTAGAGATTATATGCCACGATTCGACGAAGATCGGTCACGTACCTTAAAACAAAATTCTTGTTCACTTTTTACAGCATAAATCCTATCTTTAACTTCACTTGCGCACAGCATATTCGTGCGAAGATCCGAAAATCATTAAATAAACTATCAAGTAGCAGCGAACAATTATTTCTTTTTTATTTAGCACAGCTCGGCGGAGGTTTCTTTTTCTACTTACATAGATACAATTTAAATAATTAAATATATCACGTTCGTCAATTTGTTTAACAGTACAAATGACTAGGTAAGTTGCATTTCTCGTGGGATAATTTTGACTGCGTTTATTATTATGCATTCGTAACGAAAATGTCAGAACCGGCAACGAAATATTAAAAACATTTCAAGAATCACAAAAAAATACTGGTAGCATTACTTCCGACCGATTAAATTCATCGAGAACGAAACTACACGTCTGTACACAGCTCCTGTCTTTTGCAATTAGCGGGGACAATATTAACGTTGCAAAAAAAAGTCCGCCATCTAATTACATGCTCGATGAAGCGCGAAGTTATTAATAGCGGAACCGGCGAACTTGATCTTGAACGCATCCGATCATTCCGCGTCTCGCCGCACGTATCGTAATCGCCATGTTTATGCAAATTAAACGCGAGATCGCGGCCGATCGTGTCCGTTCCTGTCACCGGGACGATCCGCGACACGCATTCCCTTTGCCGAGTAATGTCTCTCTAATTGACGCTCAGATTGTGCAGAAAAATGGACAATTTGGGAAAAGGAAACGCGATTATTCGAATCTCGCGGCTCGTTTTTATAATTGTTGACAATCGGTAACCATAAAAAACGAGCCAGAAAGCTCGAATAATCGCA